GTAGTCTCTGTTAGGTGAACATTAGATGTTGATTTGATTCTTTGGACAGAACCACGTTACCTGTTTTCACCCATTTTCAGTCTTTATGCTAAAATATAAACTTGCGAGGGTGTAGGTGGTGATTTATTTCTCTCTGCTTGCTCCAGCCTCATATTTATCAATCTCCTCATCGACATACCTGTAAGTGCAGGCAAGACTGCAAATAACCATATTTCCCAAAGTTTAACGTTAAATATAGTTTTCTGTTATTGGTCTTCTGTTTACCTGTTTGTCTAATACTCAGACTGTGAAGCACTTTGAATTGCCAGTGTGATTTATTTTAATTTTTTTTAAATCCATGAACAAAACCCTGCCTTTTCTTTGAATGTGTATTCTAAGTTCAGTGCACTGCCGTGTGCGGCTGTGATCCTTGGTGGGACAGATTCCAGGCGAATCGAGCCATAGGTCCTTTCTTCTTGGACCCCACCCTGATGAGCAGACTCTCAGGCTTGTCAGGGATAAAGAGGGCTGTCTGGACCTCTGTGTCTGAACTGTCCAGCACAGTGAACTCTTTAGCCACCCACTTCTTTCCCTCTGAGCTAAAGACAACTGCTATAGGCCTGGCCTGTGTAAACCAATGAAAGTATTTAAAAGGACAGACCAAGTTCCCAACCCATTGATAGATAACAAAAGAGAGACTCGCACTAAATGCGTTTACCTAGTACTGTAGGTCACTTCTAGGGTATTTGGTAAATGGTCTTTTTTATGCAATGAAACACACTAAAAGTACTTCACATTATTTTTTTATTCATCCATTTTCACACACTGATCAACCTGGAGTTCAGTGTGTTGCCCAAAGACACTGCAACAAGTGCACTGGACAAGCTGGGATTTAAACCACCAACCCTCCAGTTAGGAGATGACCCTCTCTACATCTTGAGCCACAGCCGGTACCTTCAGCCTGAATGTTTCATTTACACAGGGTAACCACAGTACCTTGTTATGGAGCACATCCAGAATTTTGGGCAATACAGTTCACTACTAAAATACACAAGTTGAGGGAATTCTGCAGGCAGAGTAGTTTAGCTTGGAGTATGGTGGTATCCTGACTGAAAGTGAAACTGGGAGAAAGATCAGCGAGGAAACCTCCTGTCCCTCTTTTCCATTTGGCTCTCTGGAAGCCTCCTGTGGGAGTCACAGGTCATAGAGTCAGCTCAAGGCTAACTGTAAATCAGCTCAGCTTAGGAAGATGTCCAGCAGAGGGTAGATGGAGTTTCCCTGTTGACTCTGTCCGAAGTGACGGTGGCCCTCCGGCCACTTACCCTGCTCAGCTGTAGGGGTCTGTGCATTCTGCTGAGTCACGGATGGCTTGCCTGAACTCTTGTGCCTCTTTAAACAGCCATCTGACCCCATCAACTACTTTAACTGTTGAGTCTTTAAAACCTCTGTCTTCTTTTGTCAGTGTCTCAAAAGTTTCTGTTTTAGTTTATACCCTCTTGGTTGGCCTGTGTTGAGTTCTACTCTACAGCATCCTTTTCCCATTTAATGCTTATCCCACTTTGGGTGTCTGTCCTTTGTGTATAATGCATTGTATTTTTTTTAGTGTTTTACCCATTTTTCCCCCTAGGACTAAAACCAATGACTATTTTGAGTTTCAGTTATTCATATTTTGAGGAAGTCTTTTAATTCTATAGCCTATAAAATATCTGGCTTCATAGAGCCCAAGGTAACTTCTTTTTTTTTACAAAACCCAAATAGATTCCATTTACAGTGGTATAAAACAAAGATAAGGAAACAAACTAGCTAAACCTATCAAATGTTTGATGTTTTTGAATAAAAATTAATGTTGCTTAATTTTCTGTTGAGTGTAACTTGTTACAATGGAGGTTTTCGGTCTCTCTTCAGTGGCTCTCTCTCGTGCTAGCTCACAATGGAGGCCTATTGATGAAAGATGTAGTAGAGGTAATAGAACCAGTTCACCTGGTTGTGCAATGCACTGGTGTTGTGGTTTGCCCTACACAGCACCAGGGGGCATACACTGACCCTACCCACCAGCTATTGTTAGCAATTCTCTATGAGGGAAAATACACAGCTCAAATGTCAAAGACTGGGAATGGCACAGCACCAAATGAAAACAAAGCTCCACATTGAATCCTTTGTCAAGCCAGTTTCAGGTCAAATAAGAAGGGCCTTGCTGGAGGAGACAGTATGTGGGCAACAGAATAAGCAGCAAACATTTTTGGCATTTCTGTAGTATTTTATCCCTAAACTGGGCTGAAGTGCCACCGCTCTGTCGCCTGCATAATACGACTTTGCTTGCCTCTTATAAACACAGGAAGTGCAAGATTGTATCACTGTGGGAGAAAGCGAAATGAAATTAGCTAAATTGGGTTACTTGGCTCAAATTACCCAAATCTAGTCAGAAAGGAAGCATCCACTCTGCTTTTTGCATGTGCTCAGCATCCTGTGTTCGGTGAACCAGTACCTTTTTATACTCATTTTGTAACAGCTGTACGGTAGCTGCACACACACAGTCGCACCTATACTTGTCTACAGTACCTGAGGCTCTAACTGATAAACAGCAGAACATTGTTAAACATATTGATGAGGTTTACAGTGTTGGCTATGACTCCTCCTTTTTTTGGTACTGATCAGCATTTTTTGCTCTTTTGTCTTTACTAAATGGACGAACACATCTGTGTGTGGCTCTGGTCTGTATGTTTGCCAGTCAGAATTAAATTATGACAAAAGGGACCTTTTTTTGCCTGTTTGCACTAGTTCTACTTCAGTATGCATGACTGAGCAGGAAAACAAAGGGAACCAGACTCTGGGCCTGGACAGATGCTGGAGCAGATATCTGGGCTTATTGTGTCCTTCCAAACTTATGGAACATAATGTGGAATGTATTAAAAGGATCCATTTAGTGCTTAGCACGTAGTTAATTGATACTTCTAATTTATTGTTTCATTAATAATAGGACCAAGCGTCAGTTCACTTAAACTTAGGTAGACTCTGGTCCAGCCATCAAGTCACAGTAAATTAGGGCTGCAGTTACTGAATATTTTAATTATTGATTAATCTGCTATTTATTTTATAGTTAGGCAGTTTTGTTTATGAAAATGATGAAATCATAAAAATGGTGAATGATGCCAGTTGTCTTCCAGAGCCCAAGATGACGTCTTCAGGTTCAACTGGCAGTAAAACAGATATTCAGTTTACAATGACACACAGCAAAGAAAATCATTAAATGTACACATTTTAGAAGCCGGAGACGTTTGACATCTGAACTTGACAAAGGAAAAGAAAATGTTTTTTTTTTTTATCAGAATAGTTGCCAGTTGATTGTCTCGTAATCTAACCAATTAATTGATTAATAATTTTAGCTCTGCAGTAAATCCTAGTGATTATTATTCATAGAATGAAATCATTTCGAATCAGTAAAAGTTCTTTAAATGTGTGATTTCTTAAAAATATTTTGGCATTCTTATGATGATCATAAATGTATTCCTGTCTAATTAAAGTGGATTACACTTAACAGTTTCTGTTTTTAGACAGAGTGCGGGCTTTATTTAAAAATACTATAAGACAGATTTTGTACATTTATCAGAGACGGAGACAGATGGAAGATGCTACTCTTCACTTTCTAGTTCGACCTTCCTAAAGAGCGTGTTGTAGGTAAAGTCTGAGACAAACAGAGGAGGAAAGTGCAGTTTTGGGGGTCAGACTGCAACAGATAACTACGACTAGAAATGACACTTTTTTTCCTCTGGTATTTCTGGATATGTCTCTTCTCTCCTGCGTGGGATTTATACAGCAGCATGGATTTACAGATCACCTAGGCCCCATATGTAACATGTTGTTGCAGCTCAGTAAAGCTTTGTTAAACCAGGCATTTTATTTTTTCAGTTTTAACAGTGCTTTTAAATGGCTTTTCTTTAGCATCCACTGGCATTTGTTTTTGAGCGGTCATAAGAGTATTCTCAGTATTAATCAGCTTCATATGTGTAGGAGTTAAAAACAAAGAAGCACCATGTCCTAACCTCTGTTCTCAGTCGTTTTTAGACAGGATGATTCATGGTTGTGCTCGCAGAGTGAACAACGTGGCCCTGATGTGGAAGCTAATTTTAAACTTCTCATGTGAGATATTCCACTGTTACCAGTCACTGAGTAGTTGTCATGTGAACAAGTATATGCTGTTTTCCATCTGTCAAAAACTCCACCAGTGGCAAAATGCCAGTGTGAACATCACATCTGGCCCGGGATGGGTTAACAGGGCAGGTTTTAAACGGTGGGTTGACTTATAGCTGCAGGTTAAAAAGTCGAGCTGACAGGCTGTTTGTGTCTGGGCTTATGGGGCACTGTTGATACGGTACGTGTAATGAGGGCTCCCAGTGGAAACGATCCCTCCTGTCTCTTCAAAGAGAAGTGCTAAGGTGATCGCTTTCAGGGGCCAGTGATCTCCTTTGTATTTTCTCCTGATTCTTTAGGATTTTCGTGTCAGTGTGTTTAAAAGCTAGTAATTGCTGAAAAGGTTTTGTATCATATAGTTTTTCTTAGTCATCACAAGGACATAAAATGGTACATGGAGTAGTACAGTAGTTGGTCTGCAAACACAAATGATAGCATTTAGGCTTTAATTTGAGCCACAGTAAACTGACTGCCTCAAAATCTCTCAAGCAGCATTCGTGTTTTTATACAGGATTAGACAACAGTTCTGGTAACAGGCCTGTATGCTGATAGTGGTTTGCTGTGATTAGAAGTGTTGCCTGAACCATACTAAGACTTGAGAGTGTAAAGGAGGTTCGGATGATCTCCTGTGGCAGGATGCTTGAAGTCAACACAGGAAGTGAGGTCATGGTGTAAGTCCCCGAAATTTCATCCTGTGCTCTGCTGTTGGCGCCAGAGGCCTGTAAACTACAGTGACACACACTCAGCTTACAGCTACTATAAATAGTCAAATAAACAGAAAAAGGAAGTATGTGGGAATAAATGAAACTAATCCCAATGTTTTATATTTTCAGAATTCTATGAACCTGCCTCCAGACAAAGCCCGGCTCCTCAGACAGTATGACAATGAGAAGAAATGGGACCTGATCTGCGACCAGGTGTATACTTAAACTCTGACTGATTCAAACTTGCACTGAGAATGTACACACACCTGCCTTCATAACCCACTTTGCACCAACACAATGACTTCAGTACATGCACATTACAATGCTTACTCTGTTGTGTATCTTCAGGAGAGGTTCCAGGTGAAAAATCCGCCCCATACTTACATCCAGAAGCTGCGAGGATACTTGGAACCAGGAGTCACACGAAAGGTGGGACAGTACAAGTGACCTTTCAAATACTGTGTCCACTTGAAGGAGAACTCCACTGATTTTACACACTGAACTCTGTCTACATGTCTTGGAATCCTGCATGTGTGAAAACAGTTTTATAAAAGCTTTTGTGGCTCCAGAGGGAGCTGTGCAGAGTGTGATATATTGCTTCAAGTGATCTCACAGGAGCCTATAAGACTACAAGTTAAAAAAAAAACTAAGTGGGGGTGTGGAGTTGGGAAGAAATGAGCTTACTAGACCTCTGTAGCCTGCTTTTTATATCTGCTCAAGGCTACATTAACTGCTACTAGTGTAACTCCCCCAACTATCTGATCAAACTGGCAGCTGTTGAGTTGCATTGTGTGTAATTTAAGTGCCACCTTTTGTCAAGGAAGAAAAATATACTGGGCAAAGACCAAATTTCTGGTTCACATGCATCACATTTGATCCTTTAAAAAACAAACAAAAAAAAACTGTCCATTGGGTGTTTTGACAAAATCAGTGGATGAACCAAATCTGTCTGCTTTCATTATGTGTTACAGAAATTTCGCAGGCGGGTGCAGGAATCTACAAAGGTCTTGAGAGAGCTGGAGATATCACTGAGGACAAACCACATTGGGTAATCAGTTCTTGTCTCCAGTGTTTCTGGTGAAACATACAGATCTATTTATTGGTGCACAAAGGTTAAGTAAAGCAAGTTTTCCTTGGCAAAGAAGAGCTCTTGCTGCCGCAGACACCCAAAGCTCTTTCTGGTGCCCAGATCTCCCCTATTATTCTAAGTTGCCAAGCTCTGCAGCTCTCCTCCATAGAGCTGGTATACATAATGCCCAGATGGTAGCTATTGTGCTGCCTCATCCACTCCCCCATAGTATTGAGCTGGAAGCTTTGTTGTGTATGCCAGAGGGACAGGAAGTCTGGCTGACCAGTGTCAAGTGAAAAGCACAAAAACACACAAGGACACATTTGTTTACACATTTCTCACATAATAAAGCAAACAGCTGTTTTTATCTTTTCTCATAGAACTCAATGTGGTAAAGTTCACTTTGCACCCACTTTGTATGTAGATGTCATGTTACACCTTTGTAGCCTTTATCTTCAGTGGAGACATGATATTGACTTTATAATTTGATGAAGCTAAACCAGAAAGGAGCTTGTAAAAGGCCGTGATTTTCCATAACATCCTAACTAGCTAACTCGTATTCTGTTAGGCTTCATCAGTAAAGTTCTGTTTCACTGTATATCCAGAAAACTCAGAGGCGAAGAAAAAAAGAGCTATTTTCAGAAGACTGGTGGGCGGGATTAAGTGTAGCAGATGCTGGTTTATTTGTGTGTCTGAATCTCTGGCCCTTTCTGATGTTTTATTCCTGGGGTTGCCAAGAAAATCTGAAATAGGTTGGAGAGAAGTAGAGGAGATGGAGAAAGAGGAGAGTGGGGGGTTGGTAGACAGGAAACTGATGCTCTAGCCCACCTCCCTGTCTGCCCCCCCCCTTCTGTCCTGCACCCAGTCCCACAGCTTTGTTCACTTTCCTCTGTTCCTCTGCTCACCTCTCTTCCCTTTTCCCCTCTTTCCTTCCCTCCGCTATTTGAGGCTCTTGATTGCTTTCCTACCATTGGCTCGCTAGCGATCTGTCATCATACCCAGCACTTCAGGACTATTTTGAGAACCTTTTACCCCAATCCTGTTGCCCCCTCCCCCTACAGGGGATCTGCAGGGGAAGCAGACTAAATACTGTGGCCTGACAGAAGTTCGACCTGAGCCCAGGTCCTTCAGCCATATGGCCTCCACATTCTTTCTCTCATCGCAGTGGGAATTCCTTTGTTTGGATTTGTTTCTCTCTCCAGCAAACTGGAGTTAGAAGGGGAGGAAATCTGAAGCTTCGCTCTTCTTTTCTTTCCATGGCATTCTTGCCAAGTTCTCTCAGTCATGGGAGGGGAGACCCCCTTCAGAGTTGCCTTGGTTTATTACACCCTTGATGTTGTTTTTGATAGTTTTCTACATAATATCAAAGTAACTGCTGAGATCTGAGCATAGTGACGCTGCTGTAATGCTAATTCAGACGGGAAGGAACACAAGTTGTCATGCAATAACACAGGCTGTTGTGAACAAGCTGAAGGTTCTTGTTCAAGATAAAACTGAATGTGAATTTACCTTAAATGTCTGATAATACCCCATTGCACAAGAAGATTGTGTGCACACCCAACTAAAGCAAGTTTAGAAGGCCACATTTGGATCATTTGCTAGATGAACAGTCAGTTAGTGTAATAATGTTCCTTTAATTTTCTTTGTCAAATTAGTTAACATCGATGTTTGTTTAAAACCTGTGAAATCACCTGGCTGCTTTTATTTTTTTGTGCCATATGACTTTTAGTCACTTTTCCATATCCCAGCAATTAACTCGGTCATTACAGTTAGTCAGTACAATGTTGTTATTTTTTAATAGTTTATCAATATTTAAATTAAGGAATTATTCCCTACTTGTTTCATACCCCTCCAGTTGATTGTCAACATTGAAAGATGGAATAGTCAGAAATCCTTTAATCTAAAACTGTAATACAACTGAATGTCAAAAAATTAAATTGTGAGAAACAAATTATTCTATATTAATGGCTTCTTAAAACAGTGAAGTAGGACCACAGCAAATGATTATTTTTAATAATCAGCAATGAATCTGCCAGTTGTTCTCTGTTCATCAACTAATCATTTGGTCTCTAAAATATCACAGTATTCCAGAGTGTGTAGTGATGTTGAATAACGTCTGTTTTGTCTCACAAAATGACTTTCACAATCAATCAGTTACCAAACTATTATTTTTTTCTAAACTACAGTATATGGAGCTCTACAGTGAAGCCATTTACACATTTACATTCATGCATCAGGAAAGATGGGGGAGAAATACACTGTGTACTTATAGAGTACATAGGCGACTTATGATATATAAACCTGTGTAAACATGCATATCTTTACATATGATTATATTAAAACACTTTTGCCTGTCTTTACATAGCTGTACACATTGTTACCCATTACCTCCCTGATTTCATGTCATTTTTTTTCTTTTCACCATGGCTCCACTAGTTCTTGTTCCATTTGGCTACGTTTGGCCTTCGCTTTTGCCTCAGTTGTCTTTTAATTGCTGATAAAGTACTAGTTGATTTTTAATATAAGTAAATATATGTCCTTTTTATCAGTTATATCAGGAGGCTCTACACCAAATAAGACGAGGTGTATTATCTGATCTTATTGGTAATACAAAGGATGGCCAAAATGAGACCCAAGTTGTTATAAACTGTATTCTTGAAGACAAAAATTCCTGTACAAAGGATTCTATTGAGCTCACCGTCTCTCTTCATTGCTCATTTTTTTCTTCATTAACTGGTCAAATCCAGTGCTGGGTGTGTTCTTGATCTGGTGTTATAACCCCTCTCTGTTGCTATGCATCATAGGTGGGTGAGGGAGTTCCTCAATGATGAGAACAGAGGTCTTGATGTCCTGGTGGAGTACCTGTCCTTTGCCCAGTGTGCTGTTATGTGAGTACTTTTGCACCAGTGCACTTTACACACACACACAGACACACACAACTCATGACTGTAGCCAAAATCTCTTGCTAAGGAACTGGGTAGGGCAGTTAATTTAGCTGCTGAGTAAACACATTACATATCCTGTAGCGCTTGTAATAGACTGCTTGTGCATCCCAAATGTGCTTTTGGCACAGTGCATTCTTTGTGTTTGTATGAGTTGTTGCTTACTTGGCAAACCGAATGTGTTTCTGGACAGATGCTTATGTGGTGTAGTCTTGAGCTGTACCTAGCCTGAGTGGGTCAGAATCTCTGTGCTGAGCTTTATTGTGCAGCGTGATAACCCCTGGCTCTCTACCAAGCTGCCTCGCTAACCTATCCTTGCCCGTGCCTCTCATCTACACCCCTGTGCCTCTGTATTGGCTTGTATTGTATGTATGTGGCCTAGGTTGGATTTTGAAGGGATGGAGAATGGGGAGGATGGCACCTTGGACAAGGCTAAATCTTGGAGCAGGTCTATAGAGGATCTGCACCATACGAGCACCCAACCCTTCTGCAATACGCTGGTGCGCTCTGCCCGCCAATCTGTCCTCCGGTACGTATTGCTAAGCTAGCTGTCCCGCTCTTACCTGTCCCTGTTATTGCCTCGCTCTGCTAACCTTGAATGCTATAAAAATGTATTGGCATGCAAGCCAACTGTCTTTGTTTCAGAAAATGCCTGAATGGTTGATATGTTTCAGGTCTGCTGACCTCACTCTTGACCACAACTCACACATACTCAGTCACATGATCAGCTGTATCAGGGATAGAAACTGGAAGTCTCTGACCTTTTGCCATATCTTGTTTACTGGTCCTCCCTCATCTAGCCAGATCAGATGTGCATCTGCACTGTCCTCAGTTGAGAGCCAGATGTGAGCAGCACCATATGTTGGACAGTTGTGATTCTCTTCTTCATCACTGATCCACACACAGATAGGGGAAGAGACATTGGATATAAATTCTAATAGGAAGAAATTAAGCATTATTAGGTATTACAGCAAAAAAAAAAAGCTAAATTCTAGCTCAGGCTTTATAACAACAAATCTGCTGTAGCATAACTTAATTATGTATTATTTTAGATGTATTTTATAAAAAAAAAGCTGGCTCATGAGATGCTGTAAAAGCTATGTATAAACTGCACAAGAAAAGTAACATTATAGTCTCGTGATGACAGTGCAATAGAGTTACATAATAGTAGTCTCTGTGCATAGATTTCTGTTGACAGTAGCAAGGGAAAAAGAGCTCCCGGGATTCATCTGTAACCTCAAAAGCCATCTAGGTTTTTTTCTGTCAGACCTCGTTCTCTGTAATTTTCTCTGTTTCTCTTTGTGACATATTGAAAACAGGAGTCGAATGAATATCAGATACAAGAAGCAAAGATTTTCAATTTGTCAGTTATAAATAACAAACTAAAAGAAAAAACCTGAATTTAATCCCTACCAGATATTAACCTTGGTATTTGTTGCAGGTATGGCACAGCCTCGAATAGCAAAACCATCAAGAACTCCCGCCTCGTCAGCCAAAAAGATGATGTGCATGTGTGCATCATGTGCTTGAGAGCAATCATGAACTACCAGGTATCAAACATTAAAATTCCAACAGTAATGTAGATGCTCACACACACAGTCTGACATAGATGTGTTTTAAATGTGATTATTTTGTATTTCCTTTGCAGTCAAGTGCAGAATATACAGTATGCCCAAGTTTTTCTGATCACGTCCTGCTCTCTCTCTCTCTCTCACTGTATTTTTCATGCAGTATGGCTTCAATATGGTGATGTCTCATGCACACGCTGTTAATGAAATCGCTCTCAGCTTGAACAATAAGAACTCACGGTAAGAAATGTGGGCCTGGTCTTCATAGACACATGGTGGAGGCAAACAATAGGGGAAACCCTGGAGCCAGTTCATATGATATGCTTCCCATTCTCCATGGGCTCTGAAGTCAGGGATCAGAGGCATATATACATGTTGCTAAAGGAATGTTTACTAAAAGGAGATTAGCAGTAAACCATTGGAGCTGATCATTGTATAAGAAAGACTAAGAGGATAAACAGTTAAAAAGCTATAAAAACCTGCCTTTGCATTAGGCTTGAATATGGATATTCTGGTAGCATATATTGTACAAGAAAATGTGCTTTTCTGCCATTAATTTGAGATAAGAGTTAGTTTCAGCAGTTTAAATCTACCCATGTGTGTTATCTTGATGCCTGTCTCATGTAATTTCAGGACGAAAGCTTTGGTCCTTGAGCTGCTGGCTGCCGTCTGTCTCGTCCGAGGAGGTCACGAGATCATCCTTTCAGCATTTGACAACTTCAAAGAGGTGCCCTCAGTTACGTCTTTGCAATTAAATTTGAACCATTATCATCTAAAGTTACATTGTTAAGAGTTCAGTGGTAATACATTGCTTTGGATCCTGAAAACACGAATTAAATTGCCATAATTTCCCGATGACTTGTTTGCAGAAGGTTGAGGAGTCTGGTAGTTTTAATGTTGATTTAGCATGTGAGCAAAACTGTACAGTGGCGCGTTTTAGTCTCATTAAGATACCAGATGTGAGTCAACCTTGAACAATGATGACGATCAGCTCCCTGATGGGAGCCAGCAAACCACAAAAGTTTGCTTAGCCTTTAGATTTTTGCTTGTGCAGTCATCTAAACACTGGATCAAGACAGTTACCTTGCAGTCCAAACGTCCCACAGAGACACGAGATCCAATTAACCCACTAGTCAAAATTAGATGGTACTTTGTTGGTGGTGTTTTCTAAGATTATTTATTCTAACAAGGTGACAGGTCTTTGAAATCTCACAAGAAAGTCACCTACGATATTCAGCTACAGCTGTACCAGTAGTCAGCTGCTACTGATTTTGGTTTGGTTACGATTTTCATAGTACTAACAAACAAAGTATTGAGAGGACATTGTTTGTTTTACCTCTTCAGAATTTTTATGTAGGAATTTGGCCCTTAAAAATAAAATAAAAATCCATCCCATGTCTTTATCTTTTACTTATAACAATAAGAAACGTGACTTTACAAATAGAGTAACTGTTTACATACAAATCTTAGGATCAATTATGTTTGAACAATGGATTTAAGCATAATAAAGTACTATATTATGATTAGTCACTTAAAGTAATACAGTACAGTAGGCACTACATAGTTCTGGTATTGTCTGCACAAATGGTGGTCATTTCTGGGTTAAAGTTAAGCTGAACTGAAGTTGATGTAGTCTCTCTCTCTCTCTCTGTTTTTTCCCCAACATTTTGCCTATACTGTACTGTAGGTGATTTGGACAGTGTCAAAATCTCTGAGTAAAGTCTCTTAAATGCCACAACCTATTTATCTAGATTCCAGATGTTTCCTCCCATATTTCATCTGGTATTGTAATGTAATGTAATGTAATGTAATTTGGATGTCGTCACCATGGATTCAAAGAAAAACCTCTGCATCGTTTGCATTTTAGGTTTGTAAGGAAAAGCATCGCTTTGAGAGACTGATGGATTATTTCCGCAGTGAGGAAGGAAATATTGACTTCATGGTACGTACAGTTTTGTGTTAAATGTAGATGTATGTGTTTCTATATATCCATTCTGTTAAATATATTTGGATCTAAATGTATCTGTGTCTGGGGTCTAGGTTGCTTGCATGCAATTCATCAATATTGTGGTCCACTCAGTGGAGGACATGAACTTTAGAGTCCATCTGCAGTATGAATTCACCAAACTGGGACTGGATGACTACCTTGAGGTAAGGAGACAATATTGTGATCAAAATGGGTAAAATAAACAGAGTCTGTCTGTAGAGCACAATGTGTGGACAATATGACTAATTCTGACTCATTATTCTCACACCAGAAATGTAAATATACAGAGAGTGACAAGCTGTCGGTGCAGATCCAGGCCTACCTGGATAACGTATTTGACGTGGGTGGTCTGCTGGAAGATGCAGAGACTAAGAATGCAGCGCTAGAGAAGGTGGAGGAACTAGAGGAGCACCTGTCCCATGTATGTACACCACCCAGTCTCGACCACCAACACTGCTCTCTGGGCCCATTTATGAGATTGTTGTGGTTCACCAGCTATGTACTTAAATCTACTCAGTGTTTGCATTTCACAAGTGGTTTAGGATAATAATGGGGCAGAGAATGCTGGGAAACACTGTGCATGAAAAACTCTTGTTGTTGTGTTGGCTCGTTCCTTTTCGGCCTTTGTATCCCACGCTGCTCTGCAAAGACCTTCACATGGAAAGGTCGTAGGCAGTTATGACATTACACAAGAAATTTCATAACTAACTCTGCTCTCAGGGGTCAGGAATGATGGGGGAGGATAAGGGTGAAGATTCCATGTGAATTCCTGTGCAACATGTGTAATCGGGTCCAAATCAAAACTAAAAGCACAGTCATGCTCCTGCTGCATCATGCTTCTGGGTATATCTTATTTCTTATTGATGGTGTATATGGGGAGCAAGTGGTAGGGAGTGGAACTGGGAGAGATGCCAGTGCATGGATCAATTCCTGAATTCCCCTCCTCTCATCTCTCTGTTGCTGTCTGTCTTCTTCCCCAGGTGACTGAGAAGCTACTGGAGGTTGAGAATGAAACAATGATGAAAGTAGCTGATCTGGAGAAGCTTCTTCTTCAGAAAGACAAGGACCTGCAAGCAATACGGGTAAGCTGACAGTCACAATGATGTAATATTGCATGCAAGGCTTTGCTTACACTCTGTATTTGAGCAGAG